GTATTTGACAAATTCTTATGTTTTAGAGAAACAGATGGCTTAGTCACCAGATCAGACAATACAGCAAGTGACCAAGTTCTTAGTCACATAAAAATAACTTCTGTGTGAATGCAGACTCTGATTTGACACTATTAGTCAGTTAATAGACTAATCAAGAAGAATTTTGATTGGATGGTTCTATCTTTAAGTCATTCTCTGCTTCTTAAGTGTGAGAATTTGCTGTTTTTCTCAGATTTATATAATTGTAAATTGAATTTTTTTTAGATTTTGACTGTTATTTGTATATGAAGAGCAATTTAACAATGCCATTTTCACAATTTTTCAACATCTTAAATTATTAAACTGTCTGTCATAAATTTGACTTTATGCTTTCACCACCAAGTTTTTGACTGTTGGCCGGACAAATAAAGCAACTTGAAGATCGCCTTGAGTTGTTGCCAACGATTTTTATACCCAATTAATCCTCAAAAGTTATTTTTTAATGTCAAAAATGTCCTGCTTCCAGCCTCTCAGATGTCAGTATTTGTTTTTTTCTTTTAGCCTTCTGTGTAGAAAATAGTCGAGAGATTATTCCACATACAGCAGGAGTATCCAGAGAAAGCATAGCACTATTTGGGAATATTGCTTGTTTGAACACCAAACTGTAAAAAGAGTCCGCTGGAGGAAGAGCAGTTACGAGCTGTGAAGCACTTAACCCGTTTGTTTTGCTACAGCGCTCATGTGTAACAGGAGGGTTGTAGGGGGGTGATGTTGGTATTTCAGACAGAGACAAGCAACAGAGATCAGATTGATTGAGTTACACACGCTACACTTGTGTCCTCAGCTCTTGGCGGCCTGCGTCTAATGGTCTTAGCAGTAGGCGACAAAGTGCTGTTTTGTTCCCGCTATTGTGTGGATGTGAATGGAGCAAAGCGACAGACGGGTCTGCCCTGAGAGAGAGAGACGTATCACACACAGCACCAGCAGCTCTGTCGCGGCGCAGATGCTTGGGAATAGCGGGAATTCTTTTTACGACTTGTCTTTGTGTTAATAATGTAAAAGTAATTAGGTTAAACATTTTAGGTGTTTATTGTGATTGCCTGTGATGTTTGGTGTCTAGATGAGTAACAGTCTGGTTGTGGTTTAGCTGTGTGATACTTCCAGGCTGACTGGTGTCCTGGTCGCTGGTGGATTCTATCAACTGTGGTTAGCTGGATCGTTTTTTTAAACTGGGGTCCGGGGCCAACAGGGGTCTGTGAGTGGGTCCCCAGCAAAAGGAATAATAGTACATTTAAATTTATATCACATTTTTTGGAAGTTGGATCAACAAGGGAAGAAATAAGGTTAGATGAGATTGACAATAAAGAATTTTATCTTTAAACTTAAATATAAAAAATGACCCAAGCGGGGGATTCCTTAAAACAAAATCCTCTCAAATTGGGGGTCTGGGGTCTGATGTGAATCTATTATGTGGGCTCCTTCACGTGAAAAAGCCTGGGAACCCCTGAGCTAGCTAGGAAAGAAACAGAATTAGAAAAGGCTCTGAACAAAAAGTTTGAATGAAGCAACAGGTCAAACCAGAGTAACATTGGTGTGGCTTTTCTAGGATGGTGAGAACTGAGGGACACGTAATTATCCAGTTTGTTTTGTTTTTTGGGGGGGTATTTGTTATTTTCCTAAACCATGCAGTATCCAGAACTATGTATGCATAATACACAAGATAAGACGACCACATAAACCTTTGAAACACTATAATGGTCTTACTACAAAAGTATGCACACCGCTTCAACATGTGCAGAAATCTGAAGTTTGACAGACCTTCCATGTCTACACTACACTACGCTAAGCTATGATTGGACAATCGCTGTTTGGAGGAGGGGTTTGCTGGGAATCTTTACAACATACTGGGATTAATCAGTTAACCATCTTTGTTTAAATTTGTCACGTTGACACTTTGTGATGCACAAGCACAAAAATGCTTGATAAAAATCTGCTGCCAGTTGCCCACTACAACTACAATAGGGAGCACACTTTATTAATGAACTGTTGTATTCAGTTAAGTAGTATAAAGTATACAGGTCTGTGAGTTCAGACTTATCTTGGGATTTTCTCTTTAAAGGTTACATTCACACTGGAATCTGACATGGGCCACATTTAACAAAAATCAAATCTGAGCAATAAATCAGAATTGAGCGCTAAAGCTTGCAGTGTGAACGTAGCCTTTGTTGACCTTTCATGAATTAACTCGGTGGCTCCTGCACTCTAAAGATCTTTTATCTTTATTGATTCATAAAAAATGCATCTGCAAACAGTGCTTAAGAAAGGATATACTTGCGGTAATGTGGTTTTAAACACACAGAAAGAAGAATTTTTTTCACCTTTTTGCCCCTCACCACACCAGTCTAGAGGGATAAAGGAAAAAAACACAACAAAAGATGGGAATGGTTTCATATATATTTAGCCAAAGCTTGCTGCCCTGAAACAGAAAAACAACCCTCTTCCCTCAGTTTTCCCTCTCGTTTTCTCCATGCCACAAAATTACAATGTGCAAATTCATAAACGTATATGCTGTTTTTGCACGCTGGAAATAAACACGACGGTCTGGAGAGAATGTTGCTGCAGCGCTGTAGCGGCGTTGAAGCAGCGTTTTTTGTGTCGAGGAGTGGGTTCCGTCCCAAGCTATTGTCTGTCTGTCTGTCTGTCTGGCTTTACTCAACCACACACTCCCAACCATGCCACTGATTACTAGTTTAGAGTTGCACTAACTGCTGTCTGGTCCTTTGGCTAACCTCTGAAGAACCTGGTCTGTGTGTGTGTGTGATCCTGCGTGTGTGTTTGTGGTGTTCCCTGTTCATGCATGTCTATGTTTGTACACTACACAGTGAAAGTATGTGTCTTTATTTGTGCTTTGTGTGTTTATCTGCGCCTGTATACTTGTTGACAGTGATCTCGTAAGGCCTGTGTGCTTGGGAACATTTCTTGAGGCATTTTGGGGAGGTTTTACCGTCAACCTGTGATGTCACTTCCCCTAAGCCCAAGTCAGAGGAGGGGGAGGGTCAGAGGGGCTGTGGTTCGGATCGGGAGACGACTGGGGTCACAGTGGCCGCATATCTGAAAGCAAAGCTAAATTACGGACCCATTGTAGCCCAATTATTCACTTGCTGTGGCTTTCTTGCTCTGTGTGCGTGTTAGCATGAACACCTAATAAAAAAAGCACACGAATAAGATGATGCCACACTACAATGAGCTAACTCACATGGATTTAGGAGTAAGGAATGCGTTACGGCTCCCAAAGGGGCACGGCTGGTTACAAAAGACAAGCATTAACCAAGTGTGATTTAATTCGTACCAAACAACACAGCTATAAGTCAGCAGTTTGTATCTTCTCACCCTCTCTCATTCAAGACACCCCCCCCCCCCCCCACCGGCTACTTCTTCCACTCACTCAGCCTTGTCACATACACTCACACGGACACACACACGGACACACACTTTCCTTCCTTGTGGCGCATACTTGTGTCAGGTGTGCTCTGTTTTTCCAGTCAGGGTAGAGAGGAATCTGGGCTGAGGTCCAAGCTGACTATCAACAGCACATTGCCGGAGTCCAGGACAAGAAGCAACACATCCAGTCCATCTTTACTCCTCCTCCTCCTGCCTCCCCTTTTTTAACTGGAGCTTTGTTGTGCCGTATTTTGGTCTTTTTATTCTTCTGTTTGTGTGTTTTTTCTCCTACTTACATCCATTCTTTTCATTTTAATGCATTTTCCTGTTTTGTCTCTCCGTTTTCACACACTTTTCTGAAGTTTATGTCATGGGTTGCTAGTTTTGTCAGTGTCTTTGTTTGGAGGAGAGGCTGTTTTTCCCTGCTTAGGAGGTGTGGAGCCCTTTTTTTTGGTTTTGTGGCTAGTTCCTGTCTAACAAGGCTACAAAGTGGCCACCACCCTTGAAATGACACTAGCTATTTGAATTAATTCCCGTGGACAACAGTGAGATTATTCAGTAAAATAAATACCTTGTCGGCTAAATCACCCAAATTAAAGCTGGGTTTTAACCTGGTTGAAAAATTCACCCAGGTTAGTTGAATACAATATATAGTACAGGCGTGAAAAAAAAAATATTTGTGTTTCTACTTCAAAGCTCTTTCCTCATCACAGACATGAAAGCTAAGAACTGATGACTAACCCAAAGATGTGTTCAAAGTGTTCCCCAAAGACCTGTCTTAACCGTAAAACCACAGTTTGTGTGTCTCGTGTGTGTGTTTTTGTGTGTTTGCTTGTCTTCCTCATAATGTTGCACACACACACTGCAGTACTTGACACTTTTCCCAATTTCTTATTGACAACATGAATTCACACTTTCTGTTCTGTGGCGGTAGCTGATAAAACAGTGTGTCAGTGGAAGCATATGTGCCAAAACGGAATGTGTGTGATCTTACACACTTCTACACTGTACGCTACAATGTCTGGCACTGTGCTGCAGTCGGGCAGAGAGAGAGGGGAGAAGGGAGATAAAAAGGAAAGGAAAAGGCCTCCCACACAGGCAGATATGAGACTTAGAAGCTCCATTAGTTCCTCAAAGCCAGCTGCCGGGTTCAGATGGATGTCTGCGCTCGGCTGTTTGATGTCCATTCATCCATAGCCTTACATCTCTGCCTCTGTCTCCCAGCTTTGCCCGACGCTGGGCCTCATGGGGCTAGAGAGAGTGCAGCTGCCATAACTATAGGATAAAGCCGTCTGCTGCAGTCTCTGCTAACATCGTACCACCACCGCTGCTGCTGCTGCTATCGCTGGTGATTCTGCTAGCCTCGTCTGTTTTTTGTTTGAGCTTGTTTATGGGGAGGTAGGCAGGATGATAATATGGGGAAATATGTGGTGGGAGGGTTTGATAGGAAGAGTGTTTACACCATGTAGTTTTTGCATTCCGATGGGCTTTAAAGTTTAAAAAGAAGGCACAGAACTCTCTTACTTTTCAAGAGTTTCTTGTTATTCACTAATCCTCCTCTTTTTTATCTCTCGCTACAGCACCCATTCGTCCTGCTCCTCCTCATCGTCGTCGTCCTCCTCTCCGGACAACTTTGGGAATGGGCCAGCGCCTTGCCAGGGTGCATCTCTCCACCCGGTGGTGTGGCTGGCGTCGTGCGAGAGTGAGGAGGGCAGCGGCCAGGTCATAGAGCCCGCCCATCCCTCTCTCCGCTTGCTCCCAACTGACTTTTGACCTTTGACTCAGCCGTGACCTCCAGCCAGCCATGCCCTTCCGGCTGAAGCTAAGGCGCACACGGCGCTACAATGTCCTGAGCAAGAACTACTTTGTGACACGGATTCGCCTGCTGGACAGCAATGTGATTGAATGCACTCTGTCAGTGGAGAGTACGGGACAGGAATGTCTGGAGGCGGTGGCCCAAAGGCTGGAGCTACGGGAGGTGAGTAGAAGTCTTTGAAGCACATGCTCATGTTAAACTTATATGTCAGCATATTGTAAATGTTAATTTCTTCTTTTTTCACCTTTATTTATGTATCAATTCTGTAATCAATGAATTATTTGAACACACACAAGCAAGATAAGGAAGGTCTAACCTTGCAGATTCATGTATCAAGGTTTTAGTGTTAAAGTGCTGTTTCAGAGGTTTTCACTGTAGAAAACAAATTCTGATGGACACAATTCTTGTTATATTGAGAATATATATATAATCTAATTGTACATTTATTGAAGGTCTATATCAGCAATTGTCAGCTCCAACACATAAATATTATTGGTATTAGTAAGGGTTGGTAATATGGGAAAAAAAATCACTGTATATATTTTTATCTCTAATACAGTTTTCTGGATTTTTTCTCTCTATTGAGGAATGTGTAAAAACAGATGAGTATGTCAGTTTGAAAAATCACATCACAAGTACGTCATCACATTGTTGCAAAAACCTGGTTAAAAATCAAATTTGCCATAAACAGTTATGCTTTTTGATACAACATTGTCCCTAATCCATGTATTAAAGCAAGCACTACCACGGTTTGTTACATGGCAAAATCTCTGACAATCTCTGTTTATTATCATATCACTCACCTCTTGGTAATCACCCATTTCAATCATACACAGAAAAAAACAAGCAAAACATTGACTCTGACACTTTGACACATTTATGGATTATCAGATTGCGTGTGTGTGATCGCCACGCGTCTCTCTGCGCACCCTGTGTGTGTCTCTCTGCCCTCTGCTGTCTCTCTCCTGCAGGGTCCTTGTCTGTCTCTAATGAAGCATGGTTACCTCTGTCCTCTTTTCACTGCAGAAGAAAGAGATACTGCTCATCCCCCTGCCCCACTTCCCCCCTGCTGTACATGCCTCCTCTCTTGTCCCTTTTCTTCTCTTCCCCTGATTTTCTTTACGTTTCCCTGCATCAAGGCTTAACCAGCAACTTGCTTTGTATTCACACAGGTAGACTCATACTGGGAGGCAGAATACATCCACTTCCCTCTGACTATCTGTCTCGTTACCAACTACATGTATGCGGCTTTGCATAGGGTCTATTGTTTGCAACGTGGAGTTGTTTTGTGTGTGACAGGCCAGTTTGTTCACAGGTCAGAGAAAGAATGTGTCTGTTTGGTTGACGACTGATTGAGTTTGATGAATACGTGTGTTTAAATGTGTGTCTGTGCCCGCTGGAGCTGCTGACAAAGTGAGAGAGAGAGAGGGGTGGTGTACTCTGCGTACTCACAGAGTGTTGTGGTATTTGCCAGGTGTCAGTGATGTTATAAATAAGGCGGTGTGACGCCTCAGCTTCAGACACCGTCTGCCCCCATGCACGCTATCTCAGGTCTCTCTGTGTATGTGTGTGTCCATCTGAATTTGTTGTTTTCATCTATATTACCCGAGGCCTTAAGTACACCTCATTGTTTGTATGTGAGGAAGGAGTGTGCTCACAGCTTTACTACTTTCATTACAGTAGAGTCGAACCACTGGGAGAGAACAGGTGTGCTTACCTGTTTGTGATGACACACAGCCTACACACACCAAGCCAATAAAACATGACTGTTTGTCCCAAAATCCGGAGGAATTAACGAGTCTTGCAGGGTGCTTACATGCTCACGCAGTGGTTGCGAGTATAGTGGTTGGTTTGATTAGTGAAACGCGACAGGAAATTGTCTTATGCAAATCGCAGCATGTGGATACCTGCCACAGATACACATAAACAGGCTTACATCTTACAATGTCAGAAATGTCAAGAAACCAAATCAGTATTCTTAATCAGTGTTGAGGTAAATACGGATTCTTGCGGTCTAAACTTGTTAAAGCACATTTGAGCTAATCTGTTTAATCACTCCCTGTTGTTTGGAGTAGTGATCAATACAGCATGTTAGCAACTGTTAATGCAAACATAAATGGGTCGATCATATCACTTGAAATGGCCTATGCTGTCATTTCAGCATACTGTTTTTATTTAAACAGCTGAAGCTTGTTTTATTTTCAAATGGCATATGAATCTGTAGATAAAATAATGGGCAAGAGACTTAGTTTTCATTTTGATTTAGTGAGATAGGATCATTGCCTGTTTCTTCTCTCCCAGGGCAATCTTACTGGCAATGAGTCTGGTCTAATATTTATGTTTAATAGAGTTACACTGCTGACGTCAAAGGTTTGATCAGATTTGAAGGAGAAATATGTGTTTGTATTTCAGCTGCTTATTAATATCCTCTCTGCCCTGCTCAGTTGTCCCCCATGTATTTCTCAACTCATTTCCAATTTCCCTCCTAAAGTAATTTCTCTGCATCCTTACAAACCCCTATTTCCCATCCCAATACTTTGTCTCTTCCATTTACTGCCATTTCCTCCATCTCTCCCTCGTCTCTCCAGGTCATTTCCTCCGCCTCTTTATGTCTCTCCCTCTAGCTTACACAACTGTTTTATTCTTTGCTTCCTCTTCATCCCACCTCCACTCTCTTCTTTCTGTTCTTTCTTGTCTGGTTTCCTTTCCCTTCATCTTCATCCCTTCACCTTGTGCACCACACTGACCCTCCTTCCCTCTTTTCCTCTGGTTGCAGACCCATTACTTCGGGCTGTGGTTCCAAGGAAAGACCCAGGCTCCGGCCCATCGTTGGGTGGAGCTGGAGAAACCCCTCAAGAAGCAGCTGGACAAGTTTGGCAATGAGCCTCTGCTCTTCTTTGGAGTCATGTTCTACGTGCCCAATGTTTCCCGGCTGGAGCAAGAAGCCACCAGGTAAAGAGTCTCCAAGCACCACTTACAGTATGTCAGACACTCACATACCCGGTGTGCTTCATGCTATTACTTTATATTCAGTTACAACAGCAACAACCTTTTCCACCAGTGCCTTCTAATTTTATTCCATGTGACTTACAGTATATTTAAAAAAAAAAGTCAACATCATGTGTTCTCCTCTGTTAACACTTAACATTAGAAAATGTGTACAAAGAAACCAGCTACTGTGACTCTATGAGGAATAGTGTAAATGCACCCTTACATGTTACAGATAGATAGATAGAT